CCTATTGCCGATTCTCAGAGATATAGGTTGCGAGAAGATTGAATTGTCTTTGTTGTAAGATATTGCATCTATTAGAAAATCGCATTGCACATTTCTATCACACGAGCATAGCGTGTAGTGCAATATTTGCCTATAAATTGTTGGGCAATAAACTAGACTCTTCAATACCGTTTCAACAAATCTTTCTGATCCCATCTTCATCAAACATCATCGAAATCCCCTGTTTTCGTGTTGTTTTTCGCTCACGTGATACACGACAACAGCTAAATACATCCATCATTCCCTTCTTTATTTCCAAACGGCGCACAAACAAGATTTATACCTTCTAGAGAAAAAAAAGATCAAAGAATAATACCATTCGTTTCGACAATCTAAATCCCCTTCGATAAAAAAATAATATTTCGATTTCTAATTATTTCAGACAAAGTTAATTTTATTATCGCATATTAACTAATTTTTAATTTTAAGAAATAAATTTCTAATTATAAGAAAATTATTCGCCTAAAATGAATTTAGAAAATTTAGAAAAATACTTTAGACGAACGTACAATAAAATATTTTATCGATGTAATAATCAAATTATCGATGACATTTCGGTACGTATTATCGACATTCATCGCGTCAACACCTCCATTCTATCCTAACGTATATAACTGCTCTTAACGCCCCCTTCCTTTTATCCCACCCGTAACCCCTGACGTATGCAACCCGGCGAGGCAGCTCGGTTGGAAGCTGCGAAAAATTCCTACGCGGACATAAACTGTTCCCGGTTGCACTTTTATCTCCCCCCCTTTGGAGCTCTTTTTTTCTTTTGGCGCGCATTTGTGGCCCATTTTCACAGGCCACGGTTTTAAAATGCGATCACAGAATACCTTTTCTCCATCCAGGAGGAAACTAATCAGAGAGCGTGCATCCATCGAATGCGTTCATCCGTGGAGGCAAGGAACATACGAGAGGAGGCCAGGTGCGACCCGAGTCGTGCGATTTACCATCGAGTTGTGTGGAAGTCGATCGACCATTCCGGTGAAAAAAAAAAAAAAAAAGGAAAAATATCCGGAGGGCGCGTGTATCCCTCTCCTCACGGTTATTAAAATTTCTCACGAACACTCTTGCTGTTTCGTAATTTTTCTCCCGTTCCGTGTTCCCTTTTGCCATTCTTCACCCTACACGGTAAAACACGGTGCAACGACGAAAAACAAACGCGAGGATCCGTGATAATCATACTTCGTATGATACCTCTATTTTCTTTCTGGTTCCTATCCACTGTCGAGTCATAGAGGGTTGACTCTTCTCCTGAGAGATCGATTCGAAAGCAATCGCATCGGACGGTGCATTCAGACCTCGTCTTTAATTGTGTGAAATCTTCTGGCTTTGTTCGATGTCCACTATTTTTTTTTTTTTTTTTTTTTTTAATCCTGGAGAGATAGACTTGTAGATTTAACGGTGGTTTTACTTGATCCCCTTTGAGATAAGTAAATTCTAAATAAAATTTCCAGAGAAGAATTTTCCACTCCTTATTTAAATATTTTAAACACAAAAGATGATTCGATGATTTTAAATTGCTCGTTTACCATCGTGACAAAAATTTATATCGTGAAAGAAAATATTTGAAACGAAATTCGAATGGCGAAACAAGGCGTACGGTAAAGTAATCAATTTTTTACTTTGCTTTTTGTTGAAACATGATAAATGCTTTTTTTTTTTTTTATTTATATATTTATTAAATTCGCAATATTTATCTCTACAATTCGAAAAAATATCGAACGTTGAAAAGTTATATGGATTCGAAAATCAATGATTCATCATTATTTAATTTAAAATTCTCGAATTATTATATTGCAAATTTATTTTTTTTAATTTAAAATTATTGAAGATAATTTCTATAATCGCGAATAATACCAAATTAAAGGATAAAACGCGAGATAACCTTTTCATCCATGATATTTTGTACAAATTCATCTCTCTTGTCCTTTTTGTTACAAAGAGTATTTATCGGGTGTTGAATAAAATTACCATTGAAAAACGATTTTAAAAGAATGTTGAAGTGTTTCGCAAGAGGTGCAATAATAATATTTTAACAAATGCATTTTTGCGTCCTTTATTTTTCCCCTCTTTTTTTTTTTTTTTTTCATCAAGTACCAAAATCATATTTTCCCTTTTAATTGTTCGTACACTCGTTATTGCGATGCGCGATTAATTTAATGCGATTCCATGGATAAAAATCGAGCGATATCAAATCGAGACATCCCAACAAAATCTTCTTAAAACGATTACATTGTTGAACTAATAAAACAAATTGCAAAAGTGAATCATTTTATATATTTCCCAATTATAGAACGTGGCAAAATGTGAAAAAAAAAAAAAAAAAAAAAAAAA